CAATGGTTCCATCCTGTGTATCTGCTGAGGCTTGTGGGGTTAGGAGTTCTGGGGAAGTCAAGACAACTGACTCCAAAGATGCCTGCTGGCCACATGCTCTGCCTCTCTGAGCTCTGCAAACCCCAGTGGCCTCTGGCAGTCCTCCCTGCCTGCAAAGCCTGCCTAGGGTTGGTTTTCATGTGAGGTCTGCTCAGAGCCATGTCTGCTTACACCTGTCACTATTCACCATGACTTTCTTCCCCTGGAGCAGTCATTGTCTTGCTGGACCCTGTATACAGTTTCTATTTGCCCTTGTTGTATCCATCTTTACTGTTGGTGAGTTCTTTAAAAACAGCCTATTGCAGTTTTGTCCTTAAGTTCTCATAGCTCCTGCCTCCTCTTTAGATATTGCTAATGCTCAGTAAATATGGATCAAAGTGGAAAAGTCAGCATTCAGCCCATTTTTTGCAGGCTAGGAGATCCCTTTTCTGAGAAGTCCCTGTCTCAGAGGAGGATGTGCCCTTCTCTTTGAAGTCTGTAGTTTTGCTAGTCTTTTCACGAGCCTATTGCTCTGCTAGAATGACACATATTTCTCTTTATCTTAATATGTGTCTTTATTTCTCTTTATGCCAAATATTTCTGTTATCAAGTCTTCCCTGGAGAGAGCAAACACCTTTCAGGCTTGGCTGTGTGGCAGAGTTCAAGTGGCTGTTTCTGTATCCTGCTAAATGGAGACCCAGACGTTTTGTTCAGTCTATACCTGTAGTGGCATCTGCCTCTTCAGCCTGCAGGTTGTCTCTATGGACTCTGTCTCAAACATTTCTCCACTTTAGTTTGTAGTGCTATCCCTCACTACTTTCTTCCCCAGTCTTTCTCTGAAGCATCTACAGAAGCTTTCAAACAGGAGGTCCAGTGACCTCTATAGCCCTTCCTCCTAGGCTCCTTTTGAACCTCAGCCATAGACATCACAACACCTGGAACTTTTGAGAAATGCTATTTTACTGGATTTACTGACCCCCCCCCCCATTTCCTCCTTTACCTCACCTTTCTAAACAAGCCTATGTTTGGGTTCCTTTCTTTTCCTCCTACTTCATGCTTTCCCTGGTAACTCACTCCTGTTTGTACTAGTAATACTTACTCAAAAGGTGGCACCCACTCCACCTACTTTGGATACCCCCCCACACACACTACCCAACATACTGTAAATCTGTATTGTGAGTGGTGATAGCAACTCTGTCTGGGCTCACCTGGGGGGTCTCTATGGGCAGAACTGCCCTCTGCTGTCCAGTTAGTATGTTACAGCAGAAGAGCCCTTCACTGAATTCACTTGGGTGGAAATGGACAGGGAAGCCAGTCCAGAAAAACAAACAATGCTACCTACTGTGGAATACTTTATTTATTATTTACATTTATATTCTGTGGTATTATGAAGAAGTACTCATGAGGCAGTACTTAGAGTTCCTCTGTACCTTTGTGCCATGTGTACCCTTTATGAGACAGGGTCTTATATAGACCAGGCTGGTGTCAAACTCAACTTCCTTCTACTTCCCAAGTTCTGGGGTTACAGACATGCACCATACCTGGCTTTAGAAATGAATTTTTATGACACCTGTAAGACCAGCTCAGACCTGAGCCCTACTTACTGCCTGTTAAAGTAGATCCACATGTGGCCAAGCAGCAGGCCTAATCAATTTCCAGCTCAACAGAGCATAGCCCACACTTGAACCACATCTAGACATTTCCTGTAAAAATACAGTCAAGGAGAATTCTTATCCATTGAAAAGGATTAATCTTGAAGGTAAAAAAAAAAAAAACACAAAAAAACCTATGCCCTGGGGATAAATCCCATAAAGAAACTTCCTCCTAAAACATTAGCTCTCAGCCCTGGTGCCTCATTTTGTACTGAGAACCGGCAACATGCCTGATACCAGGAAGCAGGTTAGAGCTGAAACAGAAACACCAGGCCCAGGGTTTGGATTGGTGATGGGTTTGAGAGTTGGCATGGGTTTACAGCTGGTTTCAGGCCCATTAACACTTGCTCAGATGAACTTTAAAGAACTGAGCATCACCTATTGCCAGCCAGTGTGCTTCCCTTGAAAGAGAAAGAAGATGGAGTCAGATTCCCATGTTCTTCATCTGGTAATCAGGGCAGTGCTCCCTGAGGGGTTTATGGCATTGAATGGGCCAGTGCTTGCATTTGCCAGCCAAGCACCCACCACAGTGCTCACATGTGGAAGCCGCTGTCATCAACCATGCGTCTCCCTGTCATGTAACACACGGGATTGTAGACACACCTGGATTTGTTTATTTTTACAACTTTTTCATAATTGTCCTCAAGACAGTTACAGGAAACATAAGCATGTCATTTTAGTAGGCATTTGAGAACCTGGAGCCACAATACCATCTGAACATACTTCACCAGAGAATACTTAGCTTTCTGTGCTTCTACTGCTACACTGATACAAGAACTGCCTGCCCTCTGACAGGTTTGCTTTTCAAGGATTTCAAGGGTGCCCATGGTAACAGCATGGTGCTCAAAATGCGTTTGGATAAACACCTCCAGGCACCTTCCCCACTGAAAGCTGAAGGAGGGCACTGCATGCTGTAGGTTCATACTAGGCATCCACTACCTTACTCATCCCTGATACTGTAGTCTATGCTTTGGACAATTGATTCTCATTGATTTTACACAGTTGGTATATTTCTTGCCAAGAGAAAGGTAAACAAAAAAGGCTATGTATCATTTTATATCTAAAAGAAACACTGTTTTCACAGATTCATCTCATAGCCTTGGAACCTATCTTCTATAAAGAATGTGTAAAAGAAAACTCCATCAGATCCAAACCTGTTCATTTGGTATCTTTAGTGTGCAAATGCCAGGGCACCTGTGATATGAAACAGACTACAGAAAATGCAACAAAACTGTTCTAAATGCTGATTGGACAATATGCAATAGTTCAGGAATTTGGGCAGGAGTCCCAAGGCCTCTTTTTCCTGGGATTTCTAAGACCAGTGTGATTGGGTTACTTTAGAGGCTGGCTAGTTCAGTTCTGTAATGTGTGAGACCAAGTAGAGAAATTACCTGCCTGGGATAACAGAAGTAGAAATGAGGACCAGAGCCCAAGTGGGCCTGGGAGCCTATTCCAGGGAGACAACTTCCGGGTGAGCTACTCTTGGGAGCTGGTACCCAGAATATCCAGAGGATGTAGGGGGAAGCTTCCTGAGGTGCCCTCCAGGCTGAGGAAGGGTCTGGTCAGTGACAGCTTCACTGAGGTGCCATGAAGATGAGGTTGGGGGGGATGATTGACAGAGCCAGAGTGCTTGCACGCCCCGAGGAGCGGCGAGACACAACTTACTTTCTGGAGGGACCCTATCTTTGTGCGGGCATCCAGACAGACTGCGGTGATGCGGGTAAAGCCCAGTTACGTGGCCGGTTCCATCACACCCGGGGGTTGGACACTTGCTCTCTCTCTTTTCTGTTCTTGAGGGATCTAAAAGCGACAACAGGTGTCAAGAAAATGAATGTTTACCAGCTGCAGACTCATGCGGTTATCCAGCAACCTGAAGAGACCTTTGCTAAACAGAAAAATTAGGCAGGTGTCAGGGACAGGCTGGGACATTAGGCTTTTGCTTCATAGCTCTTTGGGTGTGGGTGATATTTTCAACCTTATACAATGTAATCAGGAATCATGAAGTATTTTTTAATCCAAAAATTAAAAAAAGCACCTATCTCTAATCTTAACTCTTGATTAATTGGTTTCCCGTGTGTTACATGATAAGCTGTGTTGCTCAAAGAAATCAATGTAAATAGTGATGAGACAGTGACCTTCTTAGAGAACAAAACTCCATATTATTTTCATTCAGCAATTTCTCCATATAATTCAGCCAGAGTGAGGTGCTGCTCAGAAATCCTTCACCTGATTCCCTCTTTGAAGAACTCTGGTCTCATACGCCATAAACTGCAGAATTTTCCTGCAGACTTTTCTCTCTGAGGTTAAACAACACTGCTTCTTAGCATAGCAATTCGGCACTTTTTTTTGGAAAATCAACTGAACTCTCAGAAGGCACTGTAAGCAAATGACAGAAAGGGTGGCGATCCCACCTGGCAGGGTGATGGGCAATCAAAAAACGCTTCAGAAGCCGCTGGAGCAACCATTTGTTTTGATTTCTTCGTCTGTGCTTGGAACCAGAGGAAGGCTCGTGTAATGCTGTGCATGCATACACACAGTAGGAGGTCAGGCTGATCTAGAGCGCTGCCAGCTCCTCTGCAGCGCCAGCCAAGAGCCAATCAGAGCAGACGTTTGGTCCAGAATTGGATGCTGGATGCCAGAGATGTAACGATATCCTAATAGAGTTTTTTTTTTTTTTTTTAACACCCAGATCAACCACAGTTCACCCTCATGCATTACATTCTTGAAAGTGTTTCTGAGGCCAGCTCAGGCTGAATTCTAAATCGTAGATTGTGACACACTGTGTTTTGGAACAAGTATTTGAAAACCAGTTGCTCAGATCACCAATAGTAGCTATTACATTTTGGTTCAGTGAATGCTACAGTTAAATTTTCATCAGGAGTTTAATTCTTTTATATGAATATCTCATTAATTGGGCCAATCATGCTTATTAGAAAATACATGCTTTACTTTTGGTTAAGAATTCATTTATATCAAGGAAAAATATCTTGACTTTGAATTTTACTTGCTTTGGTCTTTTGAGATAGAATGTCACCCTGTAATCCAAATTGGCATGGATCTCAACTATGTCACTCAGGTTGACTTTAAACTCAGGGTAATATTCTGTGCCTCAGTCTCTTAAATACTGAGATTACAAGCATGAACCACTCACTGTACCTGGCTTGATTTTGGAATTTTTGAACTCTTACAGACTTTCTTGTGTCACTTATGAGCATAAAATAGACAAATGACTCCCAGGATCTTACAAACGCTGCTATGTTGATGTGAAGGACATTCCCCTTTTCCTTTTCTGCTAACATATCATCTACCTAATGTTCCTGTCAGTTGCTAGAACAGCTCCAGCATCACTGGTGTGGAACAAAACACTGGGCATTGCCAACTGCTGTCCTGACCCTATACTTGCCTCATGGCCTCTGCCAACAAACCCAAGAGTAAGTCCTGGCATTTCAGCTTCTATAGATAAAAAGTAAAGCCTAGCATTTTGTTGCCTTTCGAGGGCATATAATTTCATTGTACTGAGAAAAGGTAATCCATGTCATTATGAAATAGTAACCACACAGTAACAGTTTCAAAGGACAGCATTGATAGTTTAAAATAATAAATTTAAGAGATTTTTAACTAGGTACAAATGACTTGTACAGGATTAAAAATATACAACGTACAATGGTTACTATTCACTTTTATCATAAAGTTACTGCTTCATCAGGACCCCAATATCTCCCACAAATAACAAGATTTCACAGACTTTGAAACAGTTTTGAAATTAAGTGATCTTTATATTTTAAAAAGTGGCTCAAAACTCTCGGGGTATGGAAACTAGAAGAGCATAGTCTGCTCTTGATGCATGACGGAGATGGGGCCTGCCACGGCCTTCACTATCACTTTCCTTTGCTTCCTTATTTCTTGCAATCCCAATTCATCTTTCAAACAAACAGGAAAGAATAGAGCAGACAAAAAGACCAGGCAACCTAACCAGAAACCTTGAAATAACAGAAACAAAAAGTGTGCTGAATTCCACGTATTCCCCTTCCGCCCATGGGTCAGAGAAAGGGGGCTGTGTGGAAGTCAAAGGAGTTATTTTATATTCACTTAATACTTTGAAGTGTTACTCATTAGTACTTTAATGAGGTACTTTCAGTTAAGATGTATGGTATGAGAATAGGTATCTGTGGTCTCTATCATTACAGAAGGAAGAGAGAAGCCACAATGCACCATGTTGATGTGACAGGCAGCTTCAGGTATGTTGGTGAGATATGGTCCCATAACTTTAGTTCTTTTATAAAGGGCTTTAATCTCTTTGCTCCATTTTTTTGGAGTGTGTGTGTGTGTGTGTGTGTGTGTGTGTGTGTGTGTGTGTTAGCTTGGCTTTGGCTCAGAATGAAACTATAGTTATAGTCAAGGAAACATGGAAACTGTTGCTGGAAAACACTGATAACTTTGGTCAGAAGTAAACCTGGGAAGCTAGAGAAGTGGTGACCAATGCCTTCTATCTCATGAGAAAATTCAGGTTCCCAGTCTTCCTTTTCTCATGATAAAAATGTACTTCCCTGTCCTTATGTAGGGGAAGAAGCGCACAGGGCAAATTCCATGTTTTTGCATAAAACTAAAGCAATATAACAACAAAGCAAAAAGAGTTGTGTGTTTGGCGAACTACACAAACCAAAGAAGCCATGGTGATGCAGAGACTCTGTTGAGTAATTTGCCTCCACACATGGTCACTCACTATGCTTCTTAAGACCAGAGTTCTGTCCTGGGAACTACTACTTAGAATTCTAAAACATGAGCCTAAAATATATCTGAACAACAAAATATCTAGTCATATGGGAAGGCGTGAATTTCTTAAAATTGATTTTTATCATTCTCAAAATCCAACTAGAAATCTCTTAACTATCAGTTCATCACATCTTGTTCAAATGCTAGTTTCATCATTTAAGACACATATTCAGTGTTCCATAGTGTTTCAAGGAAAGCCTGAAGCTCAATGGCACCAGAATCTGTATCCTTTAGAAAGTCATGCGTTCTTGTTTGCACTCCTCTGGTGGAATGTGCAACTGAATGGAAAGCCTATATCTACCCAGGCAATAGTCAACCAGTAACACTCAGCGCTCTGTCTGGCTAAGGCTTCTACCAGCTTGGACTTGGTCATTGCAATGTCCAGCTGGTCACAGAGCTAAGAGCACACATCGAAAGGGGAGTACACACCTGTGCCATGATAGGGGAAGATACAATTTTTCTGATTGTTCTTAAGTTTGTTCAGCAACTGATTTTCAAACTAAATTTCTGAATCTCATGATCAGATTCATAGTGAGGAAACTGAGTATTTGTAATGTACAGAACAAAATGAAAAGCAGAAAAAGGAACATTTTGGTGATAATACAGAAAAGATTTAAGGAACTACCAATTTCATTTTTGAGATAGTTTCTTTCATAGTTCTGAGTCTTGTGAAGAATCAACCATACTGAAGTGCTTACTATGTGAAGCTGAATCAAGACTTTTACCAATTGCAGATGGATACAGATGCTACTATGAACATGAAGCCGCTCCGTCAGGTTAGCTCAGTTACATATATAGATAGATGCAAATATGTACTCACTTATTTCATAAAATAAAATTCAGTTAAACTGTCATATTGGATAGTTTTGAGATTAAAAAAAAATACACAGTATTTGAAAAAAGAGCCACAACTGTTTCCACAATGTAATGGAGCTAGTAAGGGGAATGAATATTCTAGAGAAATTGCTATTGGTTTCAGCTGTGACTAATCCGTGACTTGCATGGCAAGTAGTTTCCTTAGCTAACTATCATAGATAATTAATGTGCAGTCACTGTCCTTATCTTATGTCATCGGTCATTGTGTTGCTGTTCAGCTCCTTTTGGGTATTTTCTACAGGGCCAGTTTCATCAATAACTGTCACTAGGTGATAATTTTATAAATCATGAAGCCATCTACTCAATCCAATTTATGAAGAAAGTGCCTCATCTCTGATTGACTGATTGTTGCCTAAACCCTTGCCACTGTTGAGCATAGATCATGGTAACAGCATAGACTGGTCTTTATGGTCTCTATCATAGGTGTGTTGTGCACTAGCCCTGTCTTCTCCAGGATGCACTCTCCCACTGTCATCTCATCCACCTGGTCTAATGACAATGCATTTAGTTGTTTTATGCATTTCTCAGACAAATATTTTATTTGTTCTATAGACAAAGTATCACATGATAAAATTCTAGAATAATCTCTAAAAATGTACATTAGACATAAAATTTGTAGTGATTTATAGTACAACAGACTATCATTAGAATCTCTCACTTAGCTCACATTTGCCTGAACCAACTTACGTTAGGTAGAAATATTACCTTTACCATAGTATGGCTTTTTGACATGGCTGTCACTGGATTTGGATTTTCTGTCTTCACCAGCCAGCTGTCTTGGAGACTGGTCCTCATAGGATCTCAGATTATCCCTTCTCCCAGCGTCCATGGCCATCTTCTCCCTCATGGCCTTGGCTCTCTCTGTCTCCAAAGCAATGGCTTTCTCTAGCAGAGTCAGGTTGCCCTTGGTCATGTCAAATACCTCCTCAGACCTGTCTGAGTTCACTGAGGTGGTGTCATCATCCCTCTCATGACACCCATCCTCCTTGGCACAGCTGGAGAACGTTCTAGACCTGGGGCTTAGCTGCTCCTCCAGCCGCATAAGGTTCATCATATCTGAGTAGCTCCTGTCTGGTGTCCTCCCAGGGAAGTCATCCTCTTGCCGGACATGTTGGCGCACACTCATGTTGGGTGGCTGACTCCTGTCCTGTGGGTTGGTCTCGCTGAGTTTCCTGGCCAGGTCAAAACACTGGTTCCTCAGACACTCTAGACTACTCAGACACACTTCCTCATCACTCTCCTCCACCATCTTCTCCATGAGTCCATTGTTCATGGGCTTCCCTAGCATGACGTAGTTCATATTTCTACTGTCTTGTTGTGACATTCCCTCAGCATAACTTCTGTCACTGATGTTCTCTGATAGCACAACACCATGTCCTTGTGCTAACAGCTTAAGGGAGTCCACTGTTTCTCTAACAACATCACTGTCTAAATCTAGACTCAGTTCACTTTTCCGACCGAGGTTTTCATTCTTGTCACTATCGTCCTCCAAGCTATTGGAGGTATTGCTGTTCATTTCTGACTCGGTCCTGGCTCGGTAGGCTGCATCCTCAGCAATTTTGCCAAGATTTAATAGTGACTTGGCTACTAGTTCATCATAGTTATCATACTCATCATTGTTGTTATCATCCTTTTCTGTGTCCTGCATTATTCGAGTACAACTCATTTGATGGTCTTCTGCAAAAAAAAAAAAAGAAGACAAAAAGGAAGAGAGAAAGTGGCTAGACTGTGAAGATTATTGCTACAGCATGGACAGCAAGCTCACAGCAAGTCAAATTCTGCTTTGTCTAGAAAGGAATCTTACAAGACATCTGCTGCTGGGTAGAAAATATAAACATAAAGCAAATGAATCATATTAAAGAGCAGAAGGCCACTTAAGATATCCACAGAGAGCTATAAACTCTGTTAGTTTTAAAATCAGCTACTAAATACAATAAATATAATATCAAAATATTCATTTTTGTTTTTTGATATTCTAATTTACCACCTTCATTGAAGGCTGCATTCACAGCCAAAAGTTGGCCTATCAATTACATCTCTTTCTAAAAATTCTTGAACATTCCTTTTTGCTAACACTTAGAGGTTCTCTGTAACCCCCTCTAAGTTGTTTGCTTCCCATCATATTAAGGCAACATACAAGACAACCTCAGATTTCTGAAGTCACATAGGAAGGACTCCCTGTTAGGAAGTTCCTGGTCATAAGGACACTGAATTGAGAAGTATGAATGTGACAGTTTCTTGTCAACATATCAAGGCCCACAGTGAAGTGGTAGGAGTGCCACAGGGAATGTGAGGAAGGAAGAGGACAAAGGCTTCCTCTAAAGACAAGTTAGGCATGTACTGTGACCACATGTCACTGGATCAGATGGGATTTATTAACTGTCACACTCACAATCTATCATTTAATTTGACCTATGGTGGTAATATATTCATCCATCTCATCAGCCTGAAGAAACTTCAGTAAGATGTACTCAACCTCAAAAGACTTAGAGAAAATCTTTTTAAAAGTCCATGTTAAGTATGACGTAAACCCCTCTATTTCATCAGAAACCCATTTGGCTTTCACTTAGAGAGCAGTTTGGATTTGAATCTCTATTCACAACTCTACACAATTGCTGTCATCTGCATTGCGAAACATAGATAATAATAAATGAGTTTTCAAATGCATTCCCCTTTGGTTGGATGGTTAACGGATGCCATTTCACATCTGTCCTTTGTTTTCATGATTCAAATGCCAGAGAACTTTCAGAGTTTGATAATGATTTGGAGGAATGAGGCATATCGACTAGCTGCAAACACCAGCTGACTAAAGCTGAGATACTGAACCTCTGGTGCTTTCGTTATGGATTTTATGCAGAAAAGGTTTATGTTAGCAAAAAGAGATTTGGAGCTCAATATAGCAATAACTGAAAATAACATCCCACCTGGAGTCAACAGATATTTAGGATCTGACCCACTCTCCAAACATCAGCATGTGTTAGTTAGAGGGCAACACTTGCTGCGTGAACCAGATTTTGTCTCTCTCTGAACACAAACCTCCTCATTTCACCACACTCTGCCTGAACCATTCCCCTTATCATAAGGATAAAATTGTCATCAAAGAGCAGCAAAAAGAAAGAAGCTAAACTACTAAACATAATCACAAGTGTGGTAAGGCTAATCCCAGATGCACACCTTCCCATTGGCTGGCAGCACAGCTTTTGAGGGCTAAGTACATCTTGTTCTCATGACTCTTTGGAAATGTGATTTTTATATTTCCCCCTTGATTTATACTTTGTTATGTTCATGGGCTACAACTAGATCATCCTTGGGCATGATAAAGCTGCTCTACCCATACACAGCAACCTGACGTTTGGGTAATTGTCACTATTATCTATAGAGTACCAACCCAATGAATTTGTAAGCCATGATTTGGAAATGGACAATATGTCTCATGAGTTGAAACATTAAAAATCTTAAAAGTTATACTTTATGTGCATGTCTTTGACTACATGTAGATACATGTGCCACAGTATATATGTGAAGGTCTGAGGAAAGTTTGAAGAAGTCTTCTCTTTCCCCCATGTGGAAATTCAGCCGGTAAAGGCCCTATCATGCAAGTACAAGTATCTGAATTTGATTCCCAACCTCATGTAAAAGCCAAGTGTGGTGACATGCCTGTAATCCCAGTACCTGAGGAAGTAGGCAGGAGAATCCCTGGGGCTTGCTGGACAGCCAGCTTAGCCTAATCAGTGACCCCCAAGTTCAGTGAAAGACCCTATCTTAAAAAATAAGGTGGAGAGTGGTAGAGAAAGATACCTTATGTTATCCTCTGGCTGCCATATGTACCTTCCGTGTTCATGTATATCTGCACATACATGTGTATCCACACAGACACACACAAGGAGGAGGAAGTCATTGAATGTAATAACCAGGAAAAAATCCCACCTAATCCCTGATTCTGTATCTAAGCTCAAAAATGAATTCTGCTCTGGAAAAGGACAAGGCTCTCATGAGCTTTTCCCAGGAAATGTGGCAGATGTAATGCTGTTGATTCTCCATTTACTCATCTCAGGATTGTCCTCAGTTGTTTGTTTGTTTTGTTTATTTGTTTTACCTGTCCTGCTTTCCACATGACATGCTAAGGAGTACATCTCACCCCCTTATGACCAATCTGTGTCACCTTTTCCCAAGAAGATGAGAAAAGTGGATAAGCTGCTCCACACAGTATCCCAGCCATGCTATCCCTTGAAACTGAGGAACTGAAGACAGCATTGGTCTCTTCCCTGCCTGAGTGCCAGAAAAGTGACAGGCATTCTCCAGCCTGTGCGGCATGCCTGCTTCTCACAGGGAAGTGAGCTGGGAGAACACTACAGATGCTCTGGTGGCCGTGTGAGGCAGATATGAAATTGCAAGTTACGCAACTGGTCCCATCACTCTTTTGCTACTTAGTGATTTTGAGAGGACAGTGACCTTTCAAGAGTCATAATGAGCTCATCTGTAAGGCAGGGATAATTATCTGCCTGGCCTTTCCTGGCAGGTTCCTACAAACCCTAGAGTGAGGTACACAGACTGTGGATTTCAAATGCCTGGCATGGGTGGTATGTTTTCCCAGTACTTTCTCTTCCCTCATAGATGCCTGGAGAAACTCGCCTCTTCAAGGATGACATCTGGAAATGGGCAGTAGGGAATGCATATGAAGACAGGGCCTGCTGCTTTTTTTTCCCATTTCTTTAAGTTAATAATGCTCAGTGTCATTTAAGGCCTCATGAGTGACAGCAGCAAATACGGATATGGCTGAGAAAATGACATTTAGGGCCAAAATCCTCACAGGTGAATAGAATTCCCCAAGTTACCAGTGTTTAACTATTTCAAGGCATCCCCTAAAGCCAGCTCCTAATTATGTGGACTAATGGAGGGAAACCGGCTCCAAGTCATCAGCAAACAGAT